AGTTACACGTGGAACCATTCCTGTTCTAAGTTATTCCTTCCTCTCCAGCCTCCAAAATGATTAAATGCTAAGTTTCACTTCTTCAGGTACTCAAAACTGGGTGCTAGTTTAATCACTTCTACTTGGAAACATTTCTTGACCCCCCAACAAAGTTAGCTTCCTCCTGATGTGCCCCTATAGCTCATACTTTAAGACAGGGCCTGCTTTAACTCTCTGTCTTGGCTAGAATGTAAGCTCTAACAGGTCCATGTCAGGTCAGTCTAGTTGACCACTCTAACTGCAGAATCTAGCACTGTGCTAAATAGTAAGTAGGCATGGAATAATCAAAAGGTTTCATTCATCCCATCTGAACTCTTACGTAGCACTAGTACTTGACATTATGCAAAACCTCTCTTTGCTCCCTTCCCTAGAATTCCCTCCCCAGTGGGAGTGCTCTCCTCTCATCCCCTTCCTCCTTTTCCTTTGCTCTTCCAGTGGCTTCTGTCCTTCTGCCTTATTTCTCTATCAGTTCCCTACATTCTAGACTAGTCCATCTCCTCCCTGCCAGCATGCAGTAGACACTTGATAAAATATGTGTCGAATGAATCAAAGGATGCCATGCTTCAAACTCCCCTGGGGAAACGTTATCCATCTCCATAGTTTTGATAATTATGTTAAACTGAGGAAGTCTAAAAATCTACCCCTAAACTAAATTCCTCACCTGGGCAACAAACCTCTGTCTCCACACGCACCCGTATGTCAGTCTGCTGACAACTACACTTAGGATTTCCAATTAAGAAGCAGATTAATCAAATGCAATTATCTCCTTTCCCTCTCCAACCTCTGCTAAAGTGGCAAAGGAATTTCTTAAAGAAAAAAAGGTACAAATCCACAAGGGCAAGGAGAACGGAATACAATAGCTAATTGAAGATTTCAAATCTGGAAGGTAGAAAGTGGATGGAGGTAAAATAACTGTGTTGGGACAGTATGGATGTAGCATTTTTTTCCCTCATCTCTAAGAATACTAATGATAGTTGCAGTTTTTCCTTCTTTTTAAATTGACTCTGGTTCCTCCAGGTGCTTGTTTTCCTTCCTTTTTCTTTTACTGTTTAAAGGTTTCTAAAACCTGGGGTAGGGAGGGAACTGATTCAGCCTACAGAAATTGCACATGGAGACCCCAGCTACTGAGGAGTCAGAGCTCATGAACTGGCTGGGCTGGAACACTGTGACGTGATAGCTTACATTATGAACGGTGATACATGGAGCCACCTTCCAGACTCTACTCAGGAAAACCAGCTGCTGGCTTATATCCCCCAGGAAGATTAGAAGATTCTTCTCTAGGCCTCAGGAGAAGACTTCCAAGTATTTGGAGGCTTCCTCAACAACAAACAAAATCCACCATCAACAAGCCTGCCTGTGCCCACACAGCTTCCACTCAGCTTTTTAATGCCCCTTTCTTAAGTATGAACAGACAGGGATTCATAGTATGAACATAAATGTCAGACAGGGATTAACAAATGTTTGAGGACCAAAAACAAAAAGAGAGAAAAAGAAAGAAAAAAAGGGCACCTGGAGGAAACACAGCCAATTAAGAAAGGCAAGAAAATGCAATTAGTAAGAAAAGATATTACAACCATAAAATAAGTATAGAATGGTATGAAAAAGGAATAAACAGAAAAAAGAGAGCATGTTTGGTATTTAAAATGAGGTAGCTGTAAAAAACTTAGAAGAAAAAATTAGATGACATCAAAGAAATCTCGATCTCTCATCCTAGAGAGGTGGGGATTGAAGGGACAAATTAAAAAAAAAAAAATAGAGAACTGATTCAGGAACACTAATAACTGCCTGAACAAACTGCAGGAAAAAAGGGAACAGAGGATATTGTGGGAAGGAAATTATCAAAGAAATAATACAAGTAAATGTCCCCCAGGGAGCAGGGCCCAGAAGGGAGAGAGAAGTGAGGCAAACTGGTTTTCCATAAAAAAAATTTTAGTATGATTTGATATTGAAGCCGTGTATATATACTGCCTTCATTATTCATTAGCAATTTAATAGGAGAGAAAACCCCTCTGTACCAAATGTGTTCTTTTCTGTATTCCCTCTCTCCACTAATATCAGTGTCAGTTACCTCTGATACGACCCTTCCCAAGTTCTACTTTGGATAGGTTTTTCACACATGCCTCCTCTCTATTCTACTGTTCCCTTCTGATCCTGACACCTCTCCAGGGACTGGTTACATAATACCATTACCAGTGGCTCTGTCTTTAGTCTCTACTCCCTGCCCAGCCCCCACCCCCCAAGCATTCTGCTATTGCCATGCCTGAGCAGACTCCTGAAAATGCTCTTCCTTTACGGCCCCTCCAACTTTCAACGGTGTACCTCAAGCCTTGGGATTAGTGGGTAGCTCTGATCACTGCTGCCACTTTCAAACCGCTTCATCTCCTACCCCCTCAAGACTCAGTTCTTCTGAAGGATGTCAGCTGACCACACTAGCCAACACTGCTCTTTCCGACTGCCTCATGGCCAAGTCATCCTGGTTACTGAAAGTCTACCACTGAGCTCACCATCTTCTAACATTACTGTCATAATTCTTGACAACTGTAACAACCATATATAAAAAATCCCCCCAAATCCTGGCCTGTTGGTTTCTTAATTTCCCCAATTCCATCAATAGACTCCATCTGGGCCATCCACTGCCATGGTCATAGTTTGATCTCAGCATCACCGCCATCTGCTCCTAGCTCTCCAGCTTCCCTCCAGCATCTCCAACCCAGCATTCTGGAGGTACTCTCCAGCTGAAAATCTTCCTCACCATCCACCATCATCCTTCTTAGATGCCATGTTTCAGTGCTCTAATCACTCCCGGAAAACACTCTCCAAATGCTTTATTCTGTTCTCCCTCCATCCTACTTGCCCTCCTTGTCCAACCCCAATTAAGCCCAACTCTGCTCCTAATCCCAAGCCGCTAAGCTTTTCTCCAGAAATGGAGTAAAACATGAGAGTTCTGCTCATTGGTCCCATTTGGGACCAAAAATATCAAATGGCAATACCATTGCTCATCAGTAAATCCCATTAATTTCTCTGGTAAATTTGTTTTCCCCCCTACCCCCAGCAAGATGCTCATTTTCTCTTACCTTTCCCTTTTCTCTCCTACTTGTAACAACTTCTATCCCTCTACTTGCCTCCCTTCACACTTGAGAACCCAGAGCTCCCACACAAGAACTACCTCTCTCATCTTCCTACCACTGATGTTTTTAACTCAGCTACAGCTAAACCGACACACGCTGCGTTCTCTCCTGTCAACGTGGAGGAAATTCCCTTGCTTCTACGTAAGTATTCCTAAAACCATCCTTAATCTCTCCTAACTCTTCAGGTCCCCTTTTACCTTGATTATTAACATCAGCACAGAAATATGTTTCATATCACCCACGCTGAAGTGAAACAAAAACTGTCCTTGACCTTATGTCCTCTTCTAGTTCCCATCCCATAAGTCCTCCTCTCCACAATACAACTTCTCCCAAGAGCTGTCTTCACATAGAGTCTCTATGTTCTCACCTGCATTCTCTCTTCAACTTTGACTGCAGCTTCATACCAGTTTTTCATTTTTCTTTTAAGTTTACTTATTTTGAGAAAGATAATAGTGGGGTCAAGAATAACCTTCCTTCATCTTACCACATCCAATTATGAAGGCTCTTTCCAGCTCTTCCAGCTCTCTTAAGCAGCAATGGACAGACATCACAACTCCTTGCTTCTGGATCACACCCCACTGGGTCTCCTTCGACCTCACAGAATGCTCCTTCTCCGGATCCTTGCTGGCTACTCAATTTCTCAATACTGGTATACTGAGCCCTCTCTTTTTATTGTCTGAACTCTCCCTAGGTAATGTGATCAGTCCTATGCTTCTAAATACCACTTGTATACTGATGTTGCTTAAATTTCTCTCTCGAACTTGGCTGTCTCCTGAGCATCAGACACAAATATCTAACTGCCATCTCGCTAGGCTATTAAGTTGGTACTGCAAACCTAAGAGATCTAGGTCAGAATACTTAAGGATTCCTCTCTCCCCATCTCAGCAATGAACCTGCTCCTACCGCATCTTCTGATTTCTGTAATATGAAATTCACCCAGCTGATCAGGCATAAAAACTAGAAGCCATATCTGATTTTTCCTCCTTCCCTCAACCTGACATCCAAATGTTAGCAGTCCTGTTTGTTCAACTGCCAAAATATATTCCAAGTCCATTTCTACATCTTACCATGCTGCTGCTGCCACCTTACTCCAAACTATCATGATTTCTTTTCCTGGATGCTGCAAAATCCTCCCCATGAGTCTCCCTGCCTTGATTCTTTGTCCTCAACAAGCCAATTTCCTTACAGCAGCCAGAGTAATCTCAAAGTATAAACCAGATGATATCAGTTCCCTTCTTAAAACCTTCCAGAGGCTTCTCAATATAATTAGAATAAAATCTGATCTAGTGAACTCAGGATTATATATACTCTGACCCTCCAACCTTAACTCCTACTATTTTCCCCATCACTGGCTCCTCTCCAGCCACACTGGCCTTTTGTCAAATATAGCAAACTCATTTTTGCTCTAGGGCCTCTGTACTGGCTGTTCCCTCTGACTGGGTATCTCTTTCCCCAGGTTTTAGCACGGCTAACTCAGCTATATGTTACCAGCTCAGAGAAGCCCATCCATCTAAAGTAGTGGACTCCGTCCTCCACTGTTACTATTTATCACAATATTCTGTCTTATTTTCTTTACAGCCAAATAAAATGCTATTTGTTTACATGTTTAGTATGCTTTCCATCCCTGTCACAAAAGATTCCATGGGGGTAGCAGGCAGGGGCTCTCTTATGTACAGATGAACTTCCAGTCTCTAGAATACTTACTAGCACATATTAGATATTCAACAAGTATTTACTGAAGCGATTTGAAAGAAATGAATACAGTATTCCCTTTCTATTTTTTAGCATAGGAGTAAATGAGAGTCCATCCCAAGCACTGAGCAGTTAACTTACTGTTGGTGTATTCTCAGTCAGGACCAGTCTGTTAACTGAAGTCAGTTATTATGTAAATCAATTCTCACTAAAGACAAAGAATATTGGTATATCTTATCAGTATCATCATACAAAAAAAGAAATAAGCTTACATTTCTAGGTACTTCCACTTATTATTTTATAACCCCATGATAAGCTTCTAAATTAGATAAGGTATTGAACATTGAAAAGAATGAGGCATCTTCCAGATAAGCAGACATAAAACCAGGACTCACAGACTTAGGTCTACAATACCTGTATTCTTTCCATCGGATCATGAATTTGTTGACATTATAGGTTACCTAGATATTTAGAGCGCTTCGAATCAAAGTGGTAGTAAAAGTCAGATTTTTAAAACCTCAACAGAAATTTCAAATGTTATAGTGTCGTTTGTAATGCCTAAAATATCAAGTATCCAGACATCAAGAACAATGGATTCGGGTTAAAAACACTAACCTCCTGGTGATCAGATATTTTAAGTTTCCAATGAATAAAAATGGGATTTTAATAGTAAATAAGTCTGGTAATCAAAATCTTTTTACAATGTATCACTGGAGCAGTAAAACAGGACATCACACGTCCTTGGGATCAAGTCCAAATTCTGCAGCACACAGAGCCTTTTTACTCTGACCCCTGCTTCTCTCTCAGCTACTTCTTGCCGCATGTTAATGAGGATGGTCAGCCTCATGACCATCCAGAAAACTCCTGCTTATTTTTTACCAGCTCAAATGTCACCTCTTCTTTGTAGCCTTTCTTAATCCCTTCATAGGCTGAATTACTCTCCTCTATGCTCCCACATGATCTTTGAACTTGATTTTTTTTTTAGTGTTTGAAAGAGAGTAAGTGAGGGAGGAGCAAAGAGAGAGGGAGACACAGAATGTGAAGCAGGCTCTAGGCTCTGAGCACTCAACACAAAGCCCGATGCAGGGCTCAAACCCACAAACTGTGAGATCATGATCTGAGCTTAAGTCAGATGCTTAACCAACCGAGCCACCTAGGTGCCCCTGAACTTGATTTTTAAGCAGTTGTATTATAGCATTTGGTCTGTTATAGGTTTTCCTGGTTAGGCCAAAAATGTTGACTGAATTAAAGAAACATGTCATTTAAATTCCTAAATCAGTATGCAAATCATCTGTCACAGAGTAGATGTTGCATTACAGTAGACCTCCTCTGTGGGGATGTGTTCCAAGACCCTTCCCTAGTGGATGTCTGAAACCACAGATAGTTAAGTACCAAGCCCCAGATATACTGGTTTTCCCTATACTCTACATACATACCTCTGACGAAGTTTAACTTATAAATTAGGCACAGTGATAGATTAACAATATAGAACAAATTATAACAATATACTGTAATAAACTATATGAATGTGGTCTCTCTTTCAAAATACCTTATTGTACTACAGTTACTCTTCTTTGGGGCAGCGGTTGACCACAGGTAACTAAGGCCGTGGAAAGTGAAACCACAGATTAGGGGGGACTGCTGTAATATTGGTCAAACTAATTAATTACTGATTGAACAAAAAGTCTTATTAGATTACAGTTATAGCTAGAAGTTACCTAAATACCTGAATCTACCGTGTGAAACTGAAGGTTTCTTAAATATAACATATATCTAAGCCCCCAGGAATTCAGGCCTATGTATACTTAGCAATAAGCATCACACAAATTTATCGCTACGCTGGCAAACTGTACATTCTCCCCACAGAGGTGAATTTGCTCAAGTGGAATGGTCGTCTGGAAATATCACTGTGTCTAAGAGGTTCTGAGAAGGATGGTTAGGCTTATAAATTTCACCACTGTTCTGCCCCAAAAAACCCTACTGATGCCTCCCAAACTGTTTTCTGCTTAGAAACGAATTTTCGTAGATCTCTGATGACATGAATACCCTTCAGAGATCCTACTGCCGTTTCTTTGCGTTGGTCAACACCAAATGTACGTTAGTCACTAGAAACTTGGCAAATTACTAACCTACCAGAAATATGGAATATGCATACTCTATTTTTTTAAAATGTTTTATTTATTTGAGAGAGAGACAGAGAGACATACAGAGAGAGAGAGAGAGAGAGACAGCATGAGCAGGGGAGGAGAGACAGCATGAGCAGGGGAGGGTCAGAGAGAGAGGGAGATACAGAATCTGAAACAGGCTCCAGGCTCTGAGCTAGCTGTCAGCAGAGCCCAACGCCGGGCTTGAACCCACGAACCGTGAGATCATGACCTGAGCAGAAGTCAGACGCTTAACTGACTGAGCCACCTAGGCGCCCGGGAATGTGAATATTCTAAATAGGAATCACTTTTAAATGAATTTACTGAACTTTATATTGCCACAACAATTCTACATTTCTTAATGGTCCCAAAAAAAGACAGACTTTTAAAATTTAGTAAAAAGTGCTGAGTGCTATTTCAATAATCTGAATCTCTGAACTATTTTCCTTATTATGTATTTATTAATAAGATCTTAGCTTCAATAAATATCACTTAACCTTTAACATTAAAAAATAATGTACTGCTAATCTTAATTCCAAAATTAACTACCTAATCATAATAAATGTCTAAGTATTTGTATGAAGTGTAGCAAAATATTACTGTCTCAAGATTGCTACGTATTAACCTAAGATCCAGAGCCTATAACAATATTTTTAAATTTCCCTTTTAAAAACTCAACTCTCACTTCTTTGTTACAGAAAACATGCCTCTAGTTATTTAAAAATATTTACATAAGGAAAAATACACCAAAAGCTATCGACAAAGACTGTTTTTGATTACTCTAAGAGTCTAACCCATTTAGATTCTTCTAGAGTTATTTTGAGCATGCAGTTTAGAAATGCTTATTTGAACAACTTAAGCTTAATCTTACTATGTTCATAAACATAAACACAAACACAGAGTATGAAAGAACACAACACAAATTATTGGTTTTACTGGTATTACAATGTAGTTTTAATACAAGCTGTAATATAAACACATAACTTAAGGTTATAAGTTATAACCTTATAACTTCAAGGTTATAAGATCAACCTTGAAGCACTTATAAAAATGAAAATGTATAAAACATCTTCCTCAATTAACTCTAAGGACAACATATACAAATGCAAAAACATGAACCTGTTCATAATCACATCAAATCTTGAGCTGTTGCTAAGCAGTAAAAAACTATTCTAATTTTAAAATTAAATAGCTCCAGGTAAAAACATGCAATTTCCCATATCCACTATCTTTGTATTCTGCACAGAGTTCCAAGGCAAAGATTGTTTCTGGCTTTCTGAACCACAAGAGACGATGACCTGTGTGGCTGACTTATCACAGGCCTTTTAGTCTTCTTTCCTGATGGGTCCTTAGCTTCTTTGGAAGGAGGCATATGAATGGGTTTCCACGGAATTGGGTTATAAAAGGCTGGTTCCGGATAAGAATTTCCACTGTAAAAATCTAAAATTATTAAAAAGTCAGAACAAAACAAGAAAAAAACTTCTTGAGATCAAAGAAACTACTTATTTTTAAATTCCTAGAGAAATTTTACAGTATGAAAAGGGCAAAAATATCACTGACAAGCCAATTTAATCCACAAAAATATTTTCAAATAAGTAACATTTTTCAAACACAGTAAGTGTTGCAGTAAAAATTAAAATATAAATGATAATTCTAGAAGTCCAGAGTGTTCTTAATATCTATATAAATAAAACCTCATATAAAAATTTTACTAAGAAATCCCTTTTTGAAGTCTTAAATTGAACAAAATCTTTATTTTCTTAACTCAGTCTGGGAAACCACTGATTCTGTACTAGTTTTCCCTAATCAGATACGAAACTTTAGAGGAAAAAAAAAAGTATATTGCAATATTGCATATTTAGCTAAAGTGAACAAAACTCTTGTTCATGACAATTCTAAATTACTACCAAATTGGTCAGATTTCATAATATCACTATAATTTTGATTATTAAGAGCAGTAGAGCACTTGCAGACAAAAGTATACTTGAACAAATCTCATTTAAATTGCGAAAAGTTTAATAAAATAATCCATTATTTTAGCAAATAACTTCTAGTAAATATGTATATTCCCACCTAAAGTTTTAACTTTACTATCCAATCATTTGGTCAAAACCACTGTGTATTACTATTTTTTTCAGACAGAAAAAGAAGCAAAGGGGGTAAACCACACCTAGGGCCTAGTAGCTGTAATGGATGACTTCTGTGACATGTGGGAGAGGCCTGAACCCTGACAGCAGGAATGCGTCCTTCAGACACTGGCAACCCACTTTGACTGCAGAGATATGTCAACACACACTTCACCGAGATGGTCAAAACAAAGTCTGGAATATGTTCTATTGTGTGAACAGAACAGAATGGGAGTATTTTTTAATAATAAATCACTTAAACAAGTGAAGGCAGCTGTCAGCAAGGCCTGAGCTTCCAACACGAAGCACAAAGAAAACCACGCCGTGCCATTTCTAATGCGAGCAAGCCCGAAGACCCACCGGTTCTGTGCTGGGGTCACATGCTGCGCCCAACTCTGCTCTGCAAAACAAATGTGCCAAAGACGCTGCAGGTTCTGCCTCCGGGAGGGTTACAAGAATGGGAGGAAGAACGGCCCCTTAAATACATCCTCCTTAAGGCTTCAAAAACCAAAATGTAAGAAAGTTTTAATGCGTTTCTTAACGTTAGAAATCATTACTTTTCCAACTACTGCCTTTAAAATATACCGGACTTATAGAGAATGACAATACATTTATGGTATCTCTATAGGAACGCAGTGTGTTAGAGTCTTCCAGAAAATAGTAATTTGAAAGAAAAATGATTTTTACACATTTCTATTTCTGTCAAAAGGAAACATAATGTATAATATTTGCTCCTGCAAGCCATATTTATGTAAGCCACATAACAGTAAAACCAACCTGTAAGTTTTCCGTTGGCATAACCATAGCCCTTTGCAGCTGGACGAGGTTTATTTTTTGCATTTTCCAACCATTCCTTAAACTTTTTCTCTGCTATTTCCTTTTTTTCCTGTAATTCAGCTTGCCGTTGTTTTTCTTTTTCCTTAAAATGACAAGACAAAGAATCTCTAGCGATATTCTGTAACTAAAAATTCTATTCAAATTCCACTGACTCTTTTCCCCAGGAGCTTCCCACCCCAATGGCTCACGGATCATAAATACTAAGTCATACTTCTATAATTTGAGAGCAAAATGTAACATGATCAGGGATCTGACCTAAAGGTGGCTGCCTCTAAACAACCATAAGACATCAAACCCAAGAAGAATAAAGCAATTTGCTGTGTTTTTTAATGTTTATTTATTTACTTTTGGGGGGAGGGAGAGGCAGGGAGGGGCAGTGAGAGAGGGAGACAGAGAGAATCCCAGGGGAGGCTCCGTGCTGTCAGAGCAGAGCTGAGCACATGGCTCGAACTCAGGAACCCTGAGACCATGACCTGAGTAGAAACTAAGAGTTGGATGTTTAACAACTGAGCCACTCGGGCACCCCAGCAATTTGCTGTTTCAAAATAGAACAGTAATTTATAATAATGTAATAAGTCTTTCATAAAAGTACATTAAAAATATTTAAAACATAAACAATGATAAAGTTTGAACCTGACTGAAAATATATCAAAAGCTTATTAATATTTGTCAACCTGAGAAAACCACAATGCATATTCATTTCTGAAACTTACTCATAGTATAGATAAGTAGGGATAGCTTCATGTACTTATTTTATGCTAAGATGGTGACAATTTTCCGTGAGAAACTTTAAAAAAAGTTTTTATTAAATTTTTAAAAAAAATTTTATTTATTTTTGAGAGAGAGAGAGAGAAACAGAGCATGAGCAGGAAAGGGGCAGAAAGAGAGGGAGACACAGAATCTGAAGCAGCCTCCAGGCTCTGAGCTGTCAGCACAGAGCCTGACACAGGACTCGAACCCATGGACTACGAGATCATGACCTGAGCCGAAGTCAGACACTTACCCGATAGAGCCGCCCAGGCACCCCTTCATGAGCAACTTTTTATACAATATCGTTGGTATGTATGAACACCAAAGCCATACATTCCAACTGGTCACTTTAATAAAAATACCTTTTCTTTCTTCTTCTTCTCACATTCTTCAGCATTTTTTTTCTTCAACCATTCCTGATATTTTTCTTTTGCCTTTTCTTGCAAATGTTCTTTTGCCAGCTCCTTTGCTGCTTTTTCCTCCAGTTCTTTATTAATTTTTTGTTCCCTTTCTTTTCTTTTCTTAAATAAAAATGAAGGAGTTTTAATTGGAATGTTTATAATTATGTTCATACAAGCAATGAGTGTTACATGAAGTAATTTTTTAAACTTCAGTTATTTTTTAAAATAGGTGGCAACATAGTGGCTGACAATGTGGCTTATGAAAATATGTAACATACCTGCTCAATTTTAGTCTACCAGCTGGGCTATAAGTTTCCTGATAACAGTAACAAAGACCTTGCTCACCAAAGTATACTCTGAGCCTGTGACAGTGGTAAGTAAACAGTAAATGGTCAATACAGATTTATTGATTAGTGAACAGAAATTAAAACCAGACTGTCCTGAATTTTGTATTTTTTAATAGATGTTGACCTTCACTCTAAAATAGGAGTGATATACCTACATTTCCTAGAGAGTCTGCCAATATGAACACTTAGGTAAAATCTTCTCCCATCAGTGAGTTACAGAGAACAAAAAAATAATATTTTGTACCCTTAGATACTGCTATAAGGGAACATACAGACAAATCTCTAACTATATAATTCTTATAAGTCTTACACAGATCAGAGGTTGGCCAACTATGGCCCCCAAGCCGAATATGGTCCACTAGCCACCAATACTCATAAATAAAGTCGTATTCAAACGTGGCCATACAAATTTATTTATATATTTGTTGTCTATCACTGCTTTTGAACCACAATAGCAAAGTTAAATAGTTACAACAGAGAGTGTATAGTCTGCAAAGCCTAAACTATTTATTGGGCTTTTTACAGAAAAAATTGGCCTTTAACTCAATGGTTTTTTTTTCCTTTTTCATTCAGAACACAATTTACCAACACAGCTACATTCTAAATAAGCCAATGACATGGCTAGCTCTCTTTATCAAAGGTTCAGAAAACAACCTGCAAGGCAATACAAATGCCATATGCACCACCCTTCATGGAGCAAAGAAATATGGGCTAGGAAAAAAAATTCTTCCACTAAAAGCATCTTGTAGAATACTTTAATATAAGCAATTCAATTAACATCCAAATAACAAACATTAGTTACATACAATGTATGTCAAATGCTATGCAGGAAAGGGAGGTCTTAAAAATCAAAGCCTGAGTCATTCCTCAAGATGCTAAGTGTACTTCTGTCCTGCTGGCCAGACAAAAGATCCAAAAAGGATCTTGCTGAGAATCCAATTTCCACTGAAACAATACTGGATTTTAACTACTCTATTGTCAGAAAAACTACAAGATTAAAAAGGATCTTGTGGTGTATCTGGCTCACTATCTGACTCAGGAGACTCTTCCACAACCTCATCAAAGGGTCATCCAGTCCCTATACTGTCTCCAATTATAACAGCTAACCTTTATGGAGTGCTGACTCTTCCTGTTACTTTTCTATATACTTTCTACGTTTGTACTACATCAATTCTTACAGTGCTTATAGGTAAGCACTATTATGATCTTACCTTACAAACGCGAAACGAAGGCACAAAGAGGGTAAGCCATTTGGCTAAGGTCACACAGATCATAAAGACACCAAAATGAGTGAATGTTAAAAACATTCTGTCAATTAATTCCACTAAAATGAAATGTCAAACTCCTTAAAATATTCCATTTTCTAAAACTGATTCAAAAAGAAAAGAGAGGCTCTAAATAGCCTTCTATCTATCTGTAAAGTAATTCAGAATTTAAAACTTTCCCACAAAGAAAACTCAAGCCTTGAATAGCTTCACTGCCAGATTCCATCACACATTTAAGAAAGAAATAATACCAATCATCACACAAATTATTTCAGAAAACAGAAAAAAAGCAAACATATTCAAACTCATTTTAAGAGCCCAGTCGTACTCTGATATCAAAACCAGGCATGGAAGTCATTAATATACTATCAGGAATAAACAAGATAACTGTTCTCATCATCAAAACATAAAATTCTTAGGGATACATTTAATTAAAAATGTGTAATACCATTGTACCTTGAAAACTAAGAAATTAAAGATGACCAAAATAAATAGAAAGAAAAATCATGTTTACAGATTTAAAATTTGATATTACTAAGATGGCAATTTCCCCCAAGACGATCTATATATTTAATGCAATCCTAACTGTGTCAGGCATTATTAAAGCAAACATGACTGGAGAAATTTATAAGCTGAATTCTAAATTGTATATGGAAAGATGCAGAGTAACTAAAACAATTTTGAAAAATAAGGAGAAAGATGGAGGTCTTACACTTTTTGATTAAAAGAATTGTAAACTCAAGAATTATAAAGCTTTAGGACAGGCTTGTGTGGTACTGGCATAGGATTAGAACAATGGGAGAGAATAGAGTCCAAAAATAGACCGATACTTACACGGTTAATTGATTTTAAACCAAAGTGCCAAGGTAATTAAATAGGGAAAAGATGACCTTTTCAACAAATAGTGTTAGAACAATTTAGCATCCACATGCAAAAAAATTATCCTTGACACTTAACTCTTACCACACATTAAAATTAACTCCAAATAAACATATAGATAAAAACTAAGGTTATACAACTTCCTGAAGAAAACAATGGAGGGTATTTTTACACCCTTGGTGTTAGGCAAATGTTCCTTAAATAGGATACAAAAACTACAAGCTATAAAAAAATAAAATACCAACTTCATGAAAAGTTAAAACTTCTCTTTAAAAAAATACCACTGAGAAAAATTAAATGGGAAAAATATTTGCTATATTTGCTATATATATACATATATATATCAAATATTTTTCCCATTTAATTTTTAATATATATATGTAACAGAACTTAAAGGAACATATAAAGAACTCTTATAACTTATAAGACATACAATCCTTCCACAAAATGGGCAAAAATTTAAGTACAAAACAAAAACAGGACAAGAGATGTCGAAATGGTTGGTAGTGTTATAGACTGAAACTATAGTGTTTGTGTCCCCAAAAATTCTTATGTTTAAGCTTTAACCCTCTAAGTGACTGTATTTGGAGACAGAACCTTTAAAGAGGTAATGAAGGTGATTAAAATCATAAAGGTAGAGTCCTAATCGAATAGGACTAATGTCCTTATACGAGGAGAAAGAGACATCAGAGATATTCATGCAGAGAAAAGGGCATGTGATGGTGTGGAGAGAAGGCATCCATCTTGCAAGCCAGGAGAAACCAAACCTTATTGATAACCTTCATTTTAGACCTCCAGCCTCCAGAACTGTAAGAAAATAAATTTCTGTAGTTTGAGCTACCCACTCTATGGTATTTTGTTATGGCAGCCGAGTAGACTAATATAATAAGCTTCTGAAAAGATGCTAAATATCAGATCTTAGGGAAATGAAAATTGAAACAAGGACACAGCACTACATACTCACTAGAATGACTTAAAATGAAAAAGACTGACAATATCAAGTTTGGCAAGGATGTGGTGCAACTAGAACTTTTATACAATAGTGGTCAAAATGTAAAATGATACAAGCATATGAAAAAAGACTTCATGGGGGACCTGGGTGGCTCAGTCAGCTGAGCGTCCGACTTCGGCACAGGTTATGAACTCATGGTTGGTGAGTTCGAGCCCCACATCAGGCTTTGTGCTGGCAGCTCAGAGCCCGAAGCCTGCTTCGAATTCTGTGTCTCCCTCTCTCTCTTCTCCTCCCCCACTCATGCTCTGTCTCTCTCTCTCTCAAAAATAAACTTAAAAAAAAAACAGTTCAGCAATTTATTTTAAACACATACTTACCATACAATCTGGCAATTCAATTCCTGAGCATTTGCCCAAGAAATGAAAACAAATGTCCACAAAAACTGAGTGCCTTTGCTGGCTCGGTTGGTTAAGTGTCCAAATTTTGCTTTTGGCTCAGGTCATGATCTCACGGTTTGTGAGTGCAAGTCCTGTATTGGGCTCTGCGCTGACAGCATGGAGCCTGCTTGGGATTCTCTCTCTGCCCTCCCCCAGTTGGGCTTTCTCTCTGTCTCTCAAAATAAATAAACTTAAAAAAAAAAGAGACTTGTACATAAATGATCAGATAATTTTATTCATAATACCCCAAAATTGGAAATAACCCAATTTTCCACTTACTAGCAAATGGATGAAAAACCTGTGGTATTGCGTAGAATATAATACTTATTGCTGAAATAATAATAAGGCAAAATCAATACCAGGGAATTTTAAAAACAAAAGAGACCCAATGCAAAAGAATATATATTCTATGATTCCATTTATATGAAATTCTAGAAAAGGTAAATCTAATCCAAAGGGACAGAAAGGAGGCTAAAGTTTTCCTTGGAGCTGGGGCCCTTTGGGGGTGGGTAGCAGAGGCTCATCAAAATTAAGAAAGGTGTATCTTCTTATATGTAAATTACAGCTCAATGACGTTTCTTTTAAAACATCAAAAAGACTTTCTGTAGAATTTACGCCAGAGAAGAAAGAATGGAATGCCTTTAGTTAGCAAAAGGAGAATAGAGCAGGCTCTCAGAGAAGTGTACTAAGAGAGAGCAGCCAGTTACTGAGTGGCTTCAGATTTTCTGGCGTTCCAGTTCTATTATCACATAGAGCACAATAATAAATCTTCCCTTTTTTAAGATGGGGCCCTGAGAGAACCTTTGTTTTTTGTAACCAACAGAAACTAACAAAATAACTGGTTACTTAAAGTTTCTAAATTTCTATTTTAGTAGTATCTGCCACATCATAAGTGTTAATGCATGAATCATGCCCTGAATAACAAGTGTGATCAATCATACACTTTACTGATCTGACTTAATTTTTTACATTGAAATATCAGTTCCATGTTTTAAGAATTAAAAGTAACTTTATTTTTAAATAATCTTTTTAAAACAATGAAGGGTAAATAAAGCACTTTTACAAAATATGTGATAACACGGTGTAAAAAAAATAAATCTAAAAATATGAATTAGTATGGCTGGACAAATTTAAGAGTACCAGATGAGATAAGCTATTTATTTGAAAAGGATTTGACAATTTACAGTCATATTAGAAGAAACCAACTTTGCTAATGGATACATAAATTCTTTTTGTCTGATCTTTTGATAGAACACAGTGAAAATGACTTAGAGAAAATTACACCACAGATACAGCTAAAATGTGAATGAAGCTAGAGGCAGTGGGGGACCACACACCATGCAATGTAAACAGGGGAGAAAAAAGCTAGATGCCAGACGGGAAGAGAAGAACCAGGAGAGCAGTCTTTACAAATAGAGGTAAATCTAACTAAGACTGAAGTAGGAAATCTGACAGGTCTGAAAGAAAAACAAAAAAATTAGAGTAATCAGTTATTCCTTAACTTGAACAAGAGTTCTGCAGAATAAATAAATTTAATTTCTCAGGGCTCATTTCTGAACCATTCTCATACTTATGGAATCTTGCTTTCAATAACTGGTGATTTATGTTAGGACAAGTTATTTCCCTCCAAAAGAAAAAAAAAATTTTTCTCAAATAACTGGATTAGATCTACTGACACTAATTAAAATAGAGAATATATCATCTCTCAGCAGTACCTTACATTCTTAGACAAACAACAACTATGTTTGACTGGCATGGTAAAATGAGCCTAATGGAGCCAGAAGATAAGAGAAGCTTTTAGAGGAGAGAGCATACTATTTTATACATGTAAAACCATTTTGTTTTATAGCTATAAACTTCACAAAATATCACCCAGAGCTTGCAAAATTCATAAAATTGGATCAAATAAGAAAAGCAGTACCATTCTAAATATGTAAAAATCACAATAGGAAACAAACAAAAGATAAGTATTTTCAAAATTTCTAACTTATGATCCAATATAAGAATGTATTAAAACTGGAAGATGGCAGATGAACACAGGGGAAGGGGAACAAAAGAAAGAGGAAAGCAAACCATAAGAGACTCTTAACTACAGAGAACAAACTCATGGTTGATGAAGGGGAGGTAGAGGGGACGGGCTAGATGGGTGATGAGCACTGAAGAGGGCACCTGTTGGGATGAGCACTGCGTGTTGTATGTAAGTGATGAGTCACTAAATTCCACTCCTGAAACCAATATTACACTATATACTAACTAGAATTTAAATAAAAATTTGAAACAAAAAATAATAAAATAAAGCTGAAAGATAATAGATTTATTCATACACTCCAGTAACAAATGCTTACTATATTACAAAGCATGATGCTAGATCTTATAATGGATTAAAAAGTTATAATATCAAAAATAATTACTATCCTTAAGTGTCTTAAAATGACAAAGAAGTGAAGATATATGCATAATACAAAATAGCAACAAAATATATACATAATAAAAGGCAGTATATGACAAAGTGATATAAATTGAACAAGGATTCAGAGAAGAAAATAATTTCTATTTCAAGCATGTAACCAGTGAGTGATTCATGTAGGAAACACTTTGAGTTGGAAAATAAAGGGAAAGGTAGAACGGAGGATATGATGAGATTCCATGTTGATGAAGTATAATATATATATAAAAAAAAAAAAGGAAGTGAGAAACATAATGGAAGCTTTCTCAAAACTTCTCATGACTATATATCCCTGCAAAGTGGGGAGCAAGGTCCAATGCTTGAGATTTCTTTGAAATCTATTGTGTATCTTAAACATAAACAAAAGTTATATTCTACCCCATTAAGTATCTATGCTTGCTTTAATATGAAAATAACATTTTTCCTCTCAAACATTTTCAGTAAAACTAATACTCTAAGAAGATGGGCCATGATTATCCTATGTGTGCTCCCAGAAAAATGCTAGTAAGAAGTAACAGCATAAAAGGAAGGGAACCATAGAAGAAAGATACCGCTCAGAGGGCAGAGAGTAGATTTCTAAACAGCCAGGCTGGAATTGTGAAAACATTATTCAGAGGACAGTAGGGAATCATAAAAATGTATTTTCAATTGGGGAATGACATTTGCTTTTTTAGCAAGATCAGTCTGGCAAAGACAGAGAGGATGGATTCATTCACTCAACAAACATTTTTGGGCATCTATTATGTGCCAGGCACTAATCTAGCTGCTAGAGAACAGAATAAAAGAGGCAAAAATCTCTGGTCTTACGGAGCTCACATCCAGTACTGGGGCATAAACAGTAAGTAGGTTTAAAGACACAATGGGACCAGATAGGAAGAGATCACAAACAGGAGAGTAGAGACTCTACAGGAAAGTGGCCGGCNGGGGGGGGGGGGGGGTCACGAACAAAAGAATAATTCTGATGTGACTGAGCTGACAGTAGTACTCATAACAGAAATCAACGGAGAATGGGCACAAGTGGGCTGCTTTAGATTCGGAGGCTCAGAGGTGCCTGCCAAGCTGACAGATGGAAATCCAAGGCTCCAGCAAGTCAGGCCTAGAGTTACAGACTTCATGACTACCTGAAGCAAGACACAAGGAAGCCACATGAGGGAAAAGGGAGAGAAGTAGAGAACAAAGTGTGGAACACAGTGACTCAATAAATATCCACGAGGGTAGTGGACAAAAAATCAGGTCAGAGAAGAAAGAAACTGAGAGAAAATAACAAAAACCTAGGTTATGAGGAGTAATGAAAAGAAGACTTTGCAAAAAGAGCGGTCAATATGTGGATGTGCATTTTTTTCTCCCTACCTGTTCATTCTTCTTCTGAACCCATTCCTTGTGCTTTTCTTCAGCAATTACCTTCCTTTTTTCACGTTCTTCCATTTTTTTTCTTTTTTCTATCTGTTGATTTAATTCCTACAGATTTTTATTCAAACAAAGGCAACATTTAATAAAAGTATTTGAATCACATATTAAAAACAAGTCTGACATTAACCAAATTAAACAAGAATATAATTTCCTTTATAAAAAGTACACCATTAGTGACAATAACTTACTTCAGTAACTAGTCTATGATGAAAAGAAAGCATTGGTAAAAACTATAAGTCATTTTTTAGAAATGCAAATAATTGCTTGGCAGCAAAACACTAGTTTCTTAGACTAAACTTCAGCTAAATTACCCTCATTGAAATCAACTTTCCCACACATAAATTCTGGCATCACTGTACGCTTTTGGCAGAAGCTCAAGAGAATTGAAACTTTTTTAGTTATAAAAAGCTTCCAGATTCTTAATGCAGATAAAGGACAGGAGTTAAATAATCCCTAAATTAAAATTTTAATTCATAGTTAAACCAAAAGAAGAAATGTAGAGAAGTGATTCAATTTTCTTGAAGAAAAAAAATGAATCTAGATTTTTCTTCACTGATTTTATAGCTGCTGGAGTGTAAAACAAAACCACATTCATATCCCAGATTATTTAACTGCCTTGCTGTCACTCGAATCTACACGTTTGGGCATTTCCTCAGAAGAAAGAATGTAGAAGGTATGGCCAAATAAAACTTCGAGCTGAATGCCACCACTCTGTCACTCATCAGTTAAATTACTGCATTAGTTGAGAATGCTGTTCAAACTAGACTCCTAGGACTCTACTGCCATAATTGCTGGTTATTTTTCTTCTCTCTCCTTAGATACTAATAATCAGATACTTTTATACCTCTTTCAGTGGACCTCACTCCTCATCCCCAGCCCTCCCTTTCCCAAAGACCTACCTACCTGAGCGTGGGTGCTAGTGGGAAGGCCAATTTCTCAACTATCAGACAATTCCAGTGTGTTAAATGAAATGAAGATAAAACTGGACACCAAAGAATATATCTTTTGGACTCTGGAACAACTGGTCTCAGGATACCTGTCTTCCATGACCTCTCATTCTAAAATTCTGCTGCATAGAAAATAGCTGCCCTCACTCATTCAGAAAGTCTTCCAACTTTTAAACACTATACACCCCTAACCACTCCCAAAAGTAAAATATCCATGCTGATTTTAAAGGGATTCTTCATTACCTCTATAGCTGCTATGCCTTGATTTTCCACCTAATACTTTTTTTATGTAGTGCCTACTATAAAGACAGCAAAAACTGAGATACAGATGAAATTTGAGATACCTCCAATCTTATGTGAATCTACATACACAAAAGAATTAAAGCACCATATTGTGAGGGGCTGCATTTAACAATTCAGAAAGTAGAAAAGAAGGGAAGGGAAGAAGAAACAACCAGTGTGGACCAGGGTAGTTGGAAATGAGTACCAAAAGAGGGCCAGTGAGGAGATGGCTTGACAAGGGCGGGGAGAATAGAAAATTAGAGTGTGGTACTAACTAGATAGTAAAAGGTCTTTTGAGACAGGCACAGTAAATTGAATACTACAAAGCAGGAACACATGGGAAAGGAAATGATTCTGAACCCTTCAAGGTTGCAGACTGCATCTGAAGGGAGGAGAGCTACTTTGAGGGCGCTGACTCGGAGACTGCCACAGTACAGGAGTTGTGAGGGGAAGAAGGTCTGAGAAGTGTGTGTGTGTGTGTGTGTGTGTGTGTGTGTGTATGTGTGTGTGTGTCAGGCTAGATACAGATCTGACATCCGTATATCCACAATTTTCCAAAATAGTCTTATTTTATTTTTAAGGAAAGTAGTCATTTAAACATACAACTAATAATATGAGTGATTATGATTGATTATATTTATGTACCCTTTTAAGATTCTTCATGTAATTATGTTAAAAAAAATCAGAGAAAAAGAGCAGACTTAGCCTTCACAGATTTTAGTTGATGTAAGAATTAAAGATGAAGGGTCAAAAGTACCTAGAAAACACTGTAACTGACTCAAATAGTGCTCATCGGCTACCCCAGAATACACATCCCTTTCTGAGACACCACCCCAACACACGACAGACACAAAGGCAGCCCCCTCTCAGAATTCCCAGTGGGACAGTCTCCCACCTGTTTACTACTAGGCCATTCCTTTTAAACCAGACACAGCCAGCATCCTCTCCAACCCGGACCCTAGGACGCCTTTTGGGAGACCACTGAGTTTCAACAGAATTATAGTTATTTTCCCACAGAGTGAACACTTGATATGGAAAACCAAAATCCACAAAGGATCCTAAATGTTACATTTTTATTTAATAGCTTTTGCTGACTTTCAGAAAACTTTTGACCACTGAAGGTAAGAATCTGGAAAAGTCACAGTTTTGAGTTTCACCAACTCTAAATAAATCCTGCCCTATTTCATTATGGGCTAATGAATGAAATGGCCATAGGCAAGATGGGGGGGAAAAAAAAAGCACCTGGATTACTGACAAACGATCATTTTTATAATTTAGGACAGATATTAAAATGTTTAAGCAAATGTTAAAAATTAGAATTAACTAAAGGTTATAGAGAATTTAGAACAGTCTGTTAAGTAAGTTTTTTAAATAATAAAAATTTAAATATAAAATGGGGGCACCAGGGTGGCTCAGTCAGTTAAGTGTTCAACTTTGCCTCAGGTCATGATCTCACAGTTTGTGGGTTCAGGCTGGTGTCAGGCTCTCTGCTGACAGCTCAGAGCCCAGAGCCTGCTTCTGTGTCTCCCTCTCTCTCTGTATCTCCCCTGCTCATACTCTGTCTCTCTCTCAAAAATAAATAAAACATTAAAAAATTTTTAAAAAATGTATATGATCTATAAAACTAGTACGCTAGTTTGCTATAATACTAATGTTTAACATTTACTATATTTTCATTCAACATTAGTTACAAACGTAACAAATTTTATAAGCAGGTAATTTTGATAGATTAAAACTATTTCTTTTTAAATTTTAAAAAATGTTTAGGGGCACCTGGGTGGCTCAGTTGGTTGAGCATCTGACTCCTGATTTCTGCTCAGGTCATGATCTCACTTTGTGGGTTTGACCCCTGCATTGGACTCTGCACTGACAGTGTGGAGACTGCTTGAGATTCTCTGTCACCCTCTCTCTCTGCCCCTCTCCTGTGTGCGTGTGCACTCTCTCTCTCTCTTTCTTTTTCTCTCAAAAATAAACATTAGAAAAAGAAAACTTTTTTAGTTTTTTAAAATAATTTTTTAACTCAGTCTTGAGACATGTCTGAAACAAATGTCTGTTGCTAAAATAAAACTTATGCGAAGATATGATTTTTAATGCCCCAATTATCCTTTAAATTTTCCTTTAAGATTTCAAGGAAGAAAATAAAACCACTAGGGTAAGTTCAAAATTAAATACCAAGTCTGACCTATTCATTTGTACAATACACCTGATACTATGGAAAGAACACTTATGAAATTGGAAGTTGAAAGAATGAGGACTCAGTCTCAGCTTTGCCATGAACTGAAATGCTGGCAAAGTTACTTTCTGGCCCTCAACAGGAATCTGAAATGAATTGTTCCTTACGGCTAATAATCTGTGCTTTTAATGATATGACTTGTAAACAAATTAGAGAATGCAATTAAGTAGGACAAAAAAAGAAAAGCATCACTTAGAAAATAGAACATGGAATGGAGCGCCTGGCTGGCTCAGTCAGCGGAGCATGCGACTCTTGATCTCAGGGATATGAGTTTGAGCCCCACGTTAGATGTAGAGATTCCTTAAAAAAAAATCTTTGGAAAAAAGAAAACCAAAACAAGGAAAACAAATGTGAATACCACAAAAGCACAAAATAAATTTATAAAGTGAATAGTTGTCCTATATTTTTCTATATCGCTGGCATGAGTGATACACCAAGATTCATGCTAAAATATTTTAATTGCTTTAGAGTTAATGATGTAGCCATAAGAAATTTCAAACTACTAAATACATGAAGAGATTTTAATCTTTCAACTAAGCACACCCTGCTACATTTTTGATCGTTGTGGTATGGATTTCATATTCATTATTTTCATCTGTTCTCAAAACAAATCTTCAGCAGTTGTTATAATCATCTGTTTTAACACATAATAACACCTAACTTTTACTGAATGCTTCCTATATACCAGGGTATCTCCTTATGTTTGCTTTGTCCTCATAACAACACTATGAGGTAAATATTATTCCCTCCCTTTCATTGATAAAGAAATTGAGGCAGTGAGAGGTTAAGGATATGCCCAAGATCCAAGTTTTTAATCCAGGAAATACAGTTCAAGAATTTATGCTTTTAATTGCTCTGTTACTGCCTCTCTAACATCTGGCTTACAAATAAAGAAACTGGGGCTCAGAGAAATTGGGTAACTTTCCCAAGGTCACAGTTAGAATGGCAAGGCTAAAATTTCAGCCTTGTTCTATGTGACTCTAAAGCTTAGGCTCCCTTATGAATTTTTTGTAATTTAATTAACTTCTTTTACTGTACACTGACTCTGAAAATAACTTGAAGTAATCCATCTTTCCTTAATGGAACAAGTGAATCTCCAGGTTAGAGATAAAGCTAAATACTATAAACCGAACTCTACTTTAACAATGGCTCACTAGCTCAGTGTTTTCCAAACTGATTCTAAAACCAATCTAGTGGGTTATGACTGGCCTTTAAAAACAAAAAAATAAAGCAGTGCCTCGGTGGCTCAGTCAGTTAAGCATCTGACTCTTGGTTTTGGCTCAGGTCATGATCTCACAGTTTGTGAGATGGAGCCCTATGTCGGGCTCGGCACTGACAGTGCGGAGCCTGCTTGGGATTCTTTCTCTCCCTCTCTCTCTGCCCCTCCCCTACTCACACTCTCTCTTTCAAGATAAATAAACTTAAATAAATAAATAAATAAAAGGGAAGAAAGAACAGAATACCAGGTTTTGCACAAAATTAAGGTATCATTTCAGATATATATATACACATGCATTTGTGTGTGACATGAAGCAAAGTAGATTTCTCATCATGAACAAATATTTTGAAAGTTACTGCACTAAATAATGGCATTAGTAATGTTAAAACTTGAAGCTAAGAGTCTGGGGTCTTAATAATACACCCTAATTCTGAAAATAAATTAAAAAAGCTTTAGGAAGGCTATGAATATAGCAATGATACCAGTAACAACACCAATAAAACAATACCAGTCACCATATATTGTCTCATTTAAACCTCACAAAAATCCTGTGACATGGGTATTATTTTTATTCCTATTGTATAGATAGGAAATTGAAGCAAAAAAAGTTTAAACAAGCCTGCCAGGCATCAAATTTAAGGTCTTTTATCAAGTCCTGGGGCATTCTAAGAGGAAACAAGTACTACTGTGCACTTCTCCAGGAATAGATTTGTGTTTTAAAATACAAATATGCAACAGGGAAATAGCAGAATGCACTGGTTTCTACAATCATTGAATCATGCCAAGACTCCTGAATACGTGACTGCCTACATGGTTCAAAATCCATCACAGAAATAACTAGCTACAAAATTGATATGGAAAATTTACTGCAAGAAGATCACAGGGATCAACGCTTTAGATCCAAGGATTTTTATGGCAACATAGTTACTAATAGATTAAATTTAAATATATGACAATAGTGAACCAGTTAACTATATTCTAGTATATACCTAATACATTTAAAATACATTTTAATAATCTCAGCCAGCCATTTAGGAATGATGTTATAAACACATTGAATGATACAGAAATATATTAACAATATGACAGGTGGAAAAAAGGTTACAAAAGAGTTTGATCCTGTTTCATTAGAAATTAAGACATACCCCTTACCACTCAGATCTACTTGGTTTCTAGGTTCAGAGAGGGAGAATTCAGATAGCGAGTAACTAGGGGATGCCAAATCCTCCAAATATGGTTAGTTGCTAGGTTTTCAGCAGCAAACAGGAAGTTTAAAGGATTCATGTGAGAGACACCTGGGTGGCTCAGTCGGTTAAGCGTCCCACTTCGGCTCAGGTCATGATCTCACAGTTTATGGTTTTGAGCCCCACGTCGGGCTCTGTGCTGACAGCTAGCTCAGAGCCTGGAACCTGTCTTCAGATTCTGTGACTCCCTCTCTCTATGACCCTCCTCTGCTCATGCTGTCTCTATCTCTCTCTCAAAAATAAATAAAACATTAAGAAAACAAACCAAAACAAAACAAAAAAAACCCCCAAAGGATTCATGTGAAAATGTATCTCACGCTATTTCAGGAGTTTGGAGAGTGAGAATCTCTCAGAGAGAATCACACACACAGAAACGTCCACAAGCGAGGCAGCGAGGCACAGAGAAACTGAAAACCCAGGAAGCCCAGCAGATTCCCATCTGCCCCCACACACTCACTCCGGGGCACATGCTCTGAGTGATATGGGGGCAGATTCCTGTCTCTATTTCAGTTTGGTTTCTCTCCTTTCTTAAAACTTTTACCAAGTAAACGCAGTTGCATTTACTTTAGTTAAATGTATATATGGTGAAGCTCCATTTTATTTGTCTTAATATACACACTTGTAGTTATTTTGTTGTTTTTTTTAATTTACACTGAAGAAAATCTGGAAAGCTACGTGCAATAATATGAACACTGGTTATCTTAGGTGGTAAAATTAGGGGTTTTAATGTTCTTCATTATACTTAGCTATATTTTCCAAATGTTCTTATGATAAACATATTATTTCTACAATTAGAGAGGGTAAAACAGATACAGCAAACTGATACAAACAAATGGAAAAATTTTGTTTTGAGGGATAATATTAACACTGTAATTGTGGCAGCAGCTCTAATTTGTGAACTCATAGATTAAGTAAAAAGGAAACTGTCTAGTCCTACCTCCAGAGCTTTCTGTTGCAGACGGTCACGTTCTTCTTTTTCTTTGCCAACAAACCACACTTCCCATGGTGTCAGGTGGCTTTCTGGTAGGCACCCCCGTTTCTGTTCTTCTTGGTTAACTTCCGATTCAACCACACTACTACAAGAGAGAGGACACTATAGCATCTGTACTCATAAGTCTTTGGCTTAACAGTCAAAATCACTGGAACTATACAGCAAAAACAGAACTTAATAATATATTTATATTATATTAATAATAGTATATTATTAATTATATGTAATGTGTTAATATTATATTACTGATATTATGTATTAATTACAATACTGTGATTTTTATAAATACACATATATGAATTTACTTATATATAAATATTTACTTGAAAAATCATAAACAGGATATCCAATATTTGAATTAGTTATCTATCAAACTGCCTTTGAATTCATCATCTAAAATCACATTATTTAAAAACCCATTAGGATAAGAATATCAATCCATTTGCCTTAATGAAAACTTTTTTTTTTAATTCTTAAAAATCTCTCTAGGGGCTCCTGGGTGATGCATTTGGTTAAATGTCTGACTTTAGCTCAGGTCATGATCTCACAGTTTGTGGGTTTAAGCCTGGTATCAGGCTCTCTGCTCACAGCTCAGAGCCTGAAGCCTGCTTCAGATTCTGTGTTTCCCTCTCTCTCTGCCCCTCCCCTGTTCACGCTGTCTCTCTCTCTCTCTCAAAAATTAAAAAAACATAAAGAAAACATCTCTCATCTGGACAATTATAACACATGATCCTAATTAGATCCTGGAGCAGACTTTCCCCTTTTCCTCCTTTAAATAGTCCCAGAAAAAAAAAAAAAAAAAAAAAAGACTATGTATACACACACACACACACACACAAATAATAAACCAAATGTGTTAACAATTAAGGATTTTGGGGGCACCTGGGTGGCTCCATCAGTTAAGCAACCAACTTCGGCTCAGGTCATGATCTCAAGGTTCGTGGGTTCCAGCCCCATGTCAGGCTCTGTGCTGACAGCTCAGAGCCTGGGGCCTGCTTTGGGTTCTGTGTCTCCTTCTCTCACTGCCCATCCCTCAAGCTCTGTTTCTCTTTCAAAATAAACATTAAAAAAAAAAAAAAAACACCAAAAAGCTGTTTTTTTTTTTTTTTAAATTAAGGATTTTGTTTGGGTGAAGGATAAGCAGAATTTTTTTTTTAAAGATTTTAAAGTAATCTCTACACCCAAAGTAGGACTCAAACTTGCAACCCAAGATCAAGAGTCCCATGCTCTACCCAGTGAGCCAGCCAGGTACCCTAGAAATTCTCAACTTTTCTGTTAAAGTTATAAAAAAAATATGGCTCTTATATTCTTTAATGTTCTGGTTGACTCTCTTTTGCCAATTCTTCAGACAGAGTGTTTATGACTCCCCAGTTTGGCGACCTCCATCTCCACTATGCACCTCTGTCAGTCTGTCTCTTTTAGGTACATGGAAAAATAAGTAGTCATTCAAGCTGAAGAGAAGAGAGGAGGGAGGAGAAATACTGGGCCTCAGCCAGATACACAAGCCTCATAAAACTTAGCAAAAGTGGAATCATTAGGACCCAAGGAAAGGAAGGTTCTCAGGACCCAAGGGCAGTTCTAAAGACTAGGTGTTTATACACTCCGTACCTCTGTCTCTTTTAACATTCCTGCTTCAGGCAACCAACTGCCTTGCCCACCCCTCTGCACAACTTCTACCTCGGAGCTTCAGCTTACTCAATTTTTTCCTGCTATTTCTTCATTGATCCATGTCCTCACACAATTTGTATTCTGGCAGGAAAGAGACACTGTTGATGTGCTGTTCATTTCTCGTATGAACCTTTCCTTCTCCGTCTTGAAGAAAGACCTCATCTGTTCCCACAGTCTCAACTATTACCAGGTGCTGATGGTGCCCACATCAGTCATTCCAGGCCAGATCTTTCTCCTCAGCTCCACACTTCGGTCCAACTGTTTGACAGACAATGCCACTTAAATGTCAATCAGTAACAAACACGTCTAACCCTCTTCTACCCCCCTACCCATTACCCTCTCCACCAGGAAAATTTTACTTCTCCTCTTAAAACCCAACCTCAGTGACAAGGACCAACAGTGGCCCAGGTAGCCGTGCCAGAACCCAGACCTGTGTCTCCCCCTCCTGGCCCCGTCCACATTAGTGCCCCCACCACCCACACCTACATCATTACCTAGTCACGCCTCTTCTACTTCTTTCAATTTTCTCGAGCCATCTTCCTCTTCTCCAACCTTACAACCACTGTGTGGACATAAGCGGCCTTTCTGCCTCCGTTTCAAACCATTTTCCACAACTCTTGCCAGATTCATCCTTCCAATGCATCCTCCTATCCGGTCCCTCCCTACCTCAAGGCTCTTCTGTGGCTCCTGCCCACAGGATGAAATCCAAACTCCACAGCCTGACACCCAGGGACTGGCTCCTGCCTGTCTTCCCAGCCTCTTCTGCCAGGGGCTGCTCTGGACTGTACAGTCTTGCTGCACTGAAGCACCGATGGATGTGCCATGCCCCGTGCTCCGTGGTTTTGTCTAAAACTGAAATGCCTCCACCTCTACATGGGGGACCATGCAAGAGCTTAGATCTGGGAGTAAAACATCTGGCAAGAATCTCTACCTGCTTCCTCCTAGCTAAGTCCATTTCTGAACCCTGAATCCTCTGTTCTCAACTATCAGATGGAGATAAGAGCAGAGACTCCCTCACAGGCATCCCTGCATGAGACAATCTATCCTATACCACTTAACACAGACACTGGGCACTCAGTAGGCATTTGGTACATGTCATTTCATAGGAGGAGGAGTCCGGCTAATTCCTACGCTCCCTTCAAGATTCCACTCAGCGGGGGCGCCTGGGTGGCTCGGTCAGTTAAGCATCCAACTCTTGGTTTCAGCTTAGGTCACGATCTCCAGGTTCGTGGGATAAAGTGCTGTGTCTGCCCCCACACTGGCAGCGCGGAGCCCGCTTGGGATTCTCTCTCTCTCCCTCTCCTCCTCTCGCTCTGTCTCTCTCAAAATAAAAAATAAACATAATAAAACCCACAATATTTAACTCAGGCATTAATCGTTATTCCCTCACAGTAAAACTCTGCAAAAACTCTGGGCCGAGCACCTTGGGCTTCCTGTCACTTGTCCACCTCTGCCATAGGCTATGAATTCCTGACAAACAGGTAGCATGTTTTAACTCATTTTTTATTTCAAGAGTCTAGCTTAGGGCCTAGCATAGAGTAAGCTCCTAAGAAATGTTTGTTGAAAGAGTGAGATCAGTGTTGTTGTTGTTGTTTTTAAATGACACTTAAAATATTAAATTTCTTGCCTTAACATTTTTAACAAATGATAGCATATACCCTACAAAATGTACAGCATATACACTACAGCTCTACCCATGATCAAGAGAGGCTTACTAAGCAGCTTTGTATGACTAAACACATTTGTTAAGGCATGGTTTTCCTAATGCAGAGAGTGATATAAAAACCAGGATAAAGGTGAATAAATAGAAGGCCCAAGGCATATTGTGAAAGGAAAATACTTCTCATCTTGTCTGAAGTCAACTGTGAGCTTCATCTCAGTCCTGTCCAACATGCTTGAAGCCGTCCTCTATGCACACCTAAAATACCCGGAGCTCAGTCTAGCTTAGCTAAGCACCAAGCACACCGGACACCTCAGTCTATCCCTATGGCAGATGAACAATGGGCACACGGCATACAATCCCGCATAGCTCTGGGTTTACTCCCTGGTCCCCGGAGAGAATGCTCACTGCTGGGGCTGGGGCTATCGCTCGGGCTGCCTGCGCTCCTCATCTCCTCACCTCCAAACTGTCCAGGAACCAACTAAAGGTTGGAGGTAGGGAGGACGAATGAGAAAATTTTGTAAACACTTACTTTCCTGAAGGGAAAATCTAGGTTTTCTGAAGCACTTGCAGACAACCACTGTATCTACCTGTTCTCTAGCAGTGGGAATTAGGCATTCATTCAGCACACATTTATTGAACGCTAATGGGTATCTATCCTTTGCAATCCACAAGGCCTGGCAACTCGTGTATTCCTTCTAGGCCATATCCCACCTATTCCCTTTGGTTCTTAGGGAGCGAGCTGTGATATGGCAGTGATAAGGAGGGAAGCCTTAGTCCTGGGGATACTACCAGCTTGCTTGGGCCTTGGTGAAAGTAAGACATAAAACACGTCTGCCTCCTCTCCTGAGCTCCACGTGATTAGGGCTCTGGCTCTTAGAAGCCAACACAAGGTCTCAGGAGCTACTCTGTGCTTTGATAGCCATCACTCCTCCACAGGTTGCTAAACTGTGTCGACACTGCTCAGTGTTGATTCAACTCAGACGGTCTTTTCCAAAGCCTTAAAATTATTTTAAAATTCTTTGGGACCAACTCAATCCTGAAGAATGCCTATGATGACCCACATGAAAATGGACTCCTGAAACTCTATCATCAGGCACTACTATCAGGCTGATCAGAGGCCTGTTTCTTGTTGCTACGACCAGTCTGGGCAAGTGGCTTGCTTGGTTACACTTAACTGACCTCCATTCCCATCGATGTACTTACTTTTACTTTCTCGCTGCTGTGACTGTGTACAGGAGTCATCTCACATGATTCCATACTCCATTCATGCACTCTGGGAATGAAGGCCTTACCCTCAAGTAGGCTCCCTTGCTGATTACACCTAAAGCATAGGGTCTCTGGTCCGTATTTCTGAGATCTCCTGTACTGTGCCTTACACAGCTTGACAATCAGACGTGTAAGTGCTTTCCGAAGATAATGTATGAGCCTACTCCAGAGGGAATCTGCATTACTCAGCCTGTCTCAGAAAGTTATTCCTGCAGGGATAGGCCCTTTGATCTTATTTCTATATACCCAATAATAGGCATGTCGCACAGGCAAGAGAGAACCTAATCGGTATAGCTCAGTGCTAGGCCCGGCTTTAACAGTTAGGTATGTGCCTCTGAATCCCACTTTGTATTTGTATCCTGAGCCACAGTTTTGTTATCTGTCAAATGTGTAAAATAAATTCATTTATTAATAAACTAATTTCATAAGAATAGAGGCCATGTCTATCTTGTTTATGGTCCCCAGTGTCTAGATTAGTATGTAGCACAAACTATGTTTTCTGAGTAATTGTAGTAAAAAAAAAGAATTTTAGATGATTTTAACAATCTCTTTGGTTTGAACACTCTCTGACTCAGTGATTTCTATTCTGTTCAGTGAGTGATCAGACCAGACCCAGCCTTGTCTGTGGATGCGGAGATGGACATTGCTAAGCTATGGTTCAGCTCCTCATTTATGCACCCCCCGCCCCAAAGTAATACTGCTTCCTACACCTTCCTTCACGGGCAATCAGATCTTTTCAAAATAACCACAGGCGCTGCCAAGGTGCGGGAAACAATTTTTGGTGTTATGGGTTTGAACAAGAGTTCTGCTGTCCACAATCTGACTTTTGAATATTAGGGAAACTTCCTGAAATGGTAGTAAAATTTTGTGTTTTTCAGACTACGTACGTTTTTCTGGACAGGGAGACTGGAACTATCATATTCTCAGGAAAAGAGATTAAGAATCCTAGAAAATCTGCAGGCACGTGTGAGAACCGGCCTACAACTCTACGTGCAAAAAGCAGGGGCACCTCAGAATGCAGATGCCTGCCTGAGGCGGGCGCCAGGATGGTGTTTGGCCGCCAGAAGAAGGCACTTGCAAGGGTTTAAGGAATCTTGAGAGGGGCTGTATCGGCCTGTGGCCCGGGGGTTACCTGGCGCACCCCTGTAACTCCACTCCTCTCTGGTTCGCCACCTCAGCTTCTGAATCCTGAGCATCTTCCTCCACCTCTTCCTCATCCTCCCCGTCGCCATCGTCGTAGTCAAACGGGAAGCTCTGGTGGCCCAGGGGAGATAGCAGTGACGTGGTGGAATTGCTACAGCTCGGCGGCGGCGACAGCGAGCAGATCTTCACCGTCTCCGGCCCCTGCCCAGGGGCGCCCGCCATGAGGACTGAGCAGGAGCCGGAGGAAGGCCGAGACGTGGACCTGCAGCCGGCCGAGGACCGAGCGTCGGAAGCCGACGAATCAGACCCCCACCGCCCAGCCGCCCACATCGGGCCCGCCAAGTTCAAACCGGCGGAGAGGCGGCGGAGACGTGCTCTCCCAGCAGGCCCCGCGCGCCGCCGGGCCGGCCTATCCCGGCGGGCGCAGACCCCGCGCTGCCATGGCGACGCGTGGAGGCCGCGAGGGCTTTGTCCCGGCCTGCGGAGCTCGGCGGGCTGCGCCCGGGCCTCTCTCGGCCCGCCGCTGACAGCATGCCGGCTCCCTCGCTGGCAGTTCATTTGGTACGAGAAACGTGCTGTCACTGAGGAAGGCAGAGCAAGGGGCGGAAGCCAGAACTACCGCCGTATACTTGCAAGGTCAGGGTTTTAAGGATCAGGCAGTTCTTTCCGCACACAGCCATATTTTATGGGGAGAAGAGAGCGAACTTTATCCAAGTTTACAAGTGTATCCAAGCATGCTCTTTGGGGGCAGTCTTCCGTTGTTTGGTAGCACCTTGTTTGCCTGGCATCTTAAAGCGGCTAGTTTGTCTCTGCATGTGAATTCTGAGGTCTTTTTGAAGCCTCTAACTTACTGGGGGCCGTGCTCAGCACGAGAGAGAGTAAGAGCCCTGCCTTCACGCGTTCCTCATTTTGTGGTGTAGAATCATAGTATTAAAATATTATGTGATCTGCATTTTATGATTTTTTGGGGTGAGACCTCGGAAGGAGCATTGTCCTTATCAGATATTGGGACTAGGGTGTAGGTAGCAAGGAAGAAATGATAGACAATAAACCTGGATGCTTTATTCATGCTGACAAAACTATGCCCACTTGTAAATAAATACGACTTTGTCCAGCCTATGACGCATATTACTAGTAAAACTATCAGACCGAAAACTGACCAAGACTAAAATAGCACACAAAATTTGTTATTGACCAAAGAGTGACAGAAAATCTTTGATAAAATTTAGATCTACAAAATTTGACACAGGAGAATTAGGTATGATAGAAATAATAGCAACCAATGGCAATTCACAAGGCAGTAGCTATAATTAATAAAATATGACATGGTTAAAACTGTTTTAATGGAATGCTCATTTTTGTTAATTTCGTTAAAAATGTCAGTAAATAAAATGAAACTGGCAGAAAATTAGATCAATTTAACTGTGTAATAAAGTTAATCAAGAAATAAAACTGGCTTAGCGGTGGGGCGCCTCGGTGGCTTGGTCAGTTAAGCATAGGAATTCGGCTCAGTTCACGATCTCCGGTTTGTGGGTTTGTGGGTTTGTGGGTTGGAGCACCACACCGGGTTCTGTGCAGGCAGCTCAGAACCTGGAGCCTGTTTCAGATTCCGTGTCTCCCTCTCTCTCTGCCCCTCCCCCGCTCATGCTCTGTCTCTCTGTTTCAAAAACTAAATAAAAAATTTTTTAAAAACTGGCTTAGAGGAGTTTATATTCTGTACTTCTTGAGTTACTTCTCAGTTATTCAATATTGGCATATCTGGTTAAAGACTTTTAGGAAAATCCCCTTAGAAAATAACAGTATCAGAAGGCCACGGGTCACTTCAGGGTTTCATAGGAGGTAAACAAGCTATTCCCAACATAATCCGACATACCTGAAGCACAGTAGGAGAAAACACAAAAATCTTAGTATAAAGGGGACCTGAATTTGAATCAGTGGTTTTCTTCTTACTCATGAGATACCCTTAAACAAGCTTGTTTGGCTTTTCTGAGTCCTAACTTCTTTGTAAAAGGGAAATAACCTATCTCCCAGTCATTAGTATGTCATTAACTCTCCAAGTTTCTGGCATAGGACTTGACAGAGAAAACAGTAAATGATAAATTGTATCCTTTAAACTCCCAAACATTTCTATGTTAACTTCTTGGTATAGGAATATAAAATGTCATACATTTCTCTGCCTCCTTAAAATGTTTGACTAAATAAATTATGTCCTTTCCTGGATGTCTTTGAGAATCATCATAATGACCAACTACTGCATTGTGCTGTAACAACACTGGAAATAATGAACCAAAGAGATGCATGGCATTGGTACTGGGGCTTAAACATAATTGAGTCCTGTGGTCTCCTTTCTTAGTGCCTTGTCATTACTGTGACTGAGAAGCCATAATCAAGTTTGGTAGAATTACATGTAAATGTATAAATAAGCTCAGAAGAAGGCCTCCCCCCACCCCCCCAAGTTTTTGGTAACTTCTCTACTTACTACTCATTTTTACTTTCATGGTACAGTTGAGATAAATTTATATTTTTTGTTGGCTTTGTAACCTCTAGAAGAGTAACTTTTGCTTAAAAATCCCTGACCTTGTTACAAAAATAACACCATTACCAGTTGGCCTTGTAGCAATAATTAGGCAACTTTTAAAATTTAGCCTGGACATACTGAAATCTTTACAGATGAAACATGTCTTAGATTCACTTCAAAATAATCCAAGGGGCAAGGGTGCCTGGATGGCTCAGTCCATTAGATATCCAACTCTTGATTTTGGCTCAGTTCACGATCTTGCGGTTCATGATTTTGAGCCCCACTTCAGGCTCTGAGCTGACAGCATGGAACCTGCTTGGGACTCTCTCTTCTCTCTCTTTCTCTGCCCCTCCCCTGCTTACGCTCTCGATCTCTCTCAAAATAAATAAATAGATAACAAGAAATAACCCAAGGGGCAGAGGGATTAGAGGGAGTTAGTGAATGGGACGCAGATGAAACAAGATGTACCATGTGCTGTTGAGAATTGCCACAGCTGGGTGGTGGGTACCCAGGGTGAAGGCTGAGGCAATGGGAGGGGTAATTATACTATTCTTTTTGGTATGGAAATTCCAAACATATAGTTACATTTAAAACAAATGAACAAAACAAAAAAATATGCCTCAAATTAAGAGGAACTGGGTTCCAGTTTGGTTTCTAATTTGTTGTGTGTGACTTAAGTATTCACTTAAATTTCATCAAGCCCTCTATTTTCTCATCTGTGAAATTAGGTCTTGATGATTGTGAATATTTATATCTAAGCATTTGGGCAACTGACTACATTTGGTATCATGAAGGATTTTTAATCATCTGCTTTTATTATTGAGCTTTTTAAAGTGATTACATCCGGGATGTCTGGGTGGCTCAGTCTGTTAGGTACCCGACTCTTGGTTTCGGCTCAGGTCATGATCTTACTATTTCTGAGTTCAAGCCCCACATCAGCCTCCCTGATTCCCTGACCCTCCCTGAGACTCTCTCTCTCCTCTTTCTCTACCCGTCCCCTACTTATGCTGTGCCTCCCCACCCCCCAAATAAACAAACATTAAAAAAAAATTTTTTTAAGTGATCTCTACATCCAAGGTGGTGGGGTTGAAATTTATTACCCAGAGATGAAGAGTTGCATGCTCCATCGACTGAGCCAGGCAGGAACCCCAATCACTTGCTTTTAAATAAAGACCTAATTAATGGTAGTCTCTTAAATTTCACGATTTGTTTTCCATGAGTATCATTCAGACTCAAGATAGAATAGTGTTTCCCACTACATGTATTGCACAGTCTACCACATAGTTTAGGTATCTGCTATTCTATGTTTTAAATGATGTGAAGTTTTCAGTAACTTGAATTTTGGAGAAAAAAAATACTTTGAGCTAGATTTTTTTTCCAAGTTATGATTTAATATTTATCAGATGTGTAAATAAACAAACATGAGAGAAACTTTAAAAACTTGTGAATAGTTGGCCTTAAAAAATTACATCACACTGTAAATAAATCCCTCCCGCATTTTATACACTACATGATTTTGATATACAAAGATTCTGTTTTTATTACACTGACAATGTACAACCAAGACTATTTTACAAGGCAAAAAAGTATATAAACCACAATTTAACATTCTGCTACTGGCAGCCACTATAGTTTAGGAGGTAGCTTTAATTAAACAAAATGAACAGAAGCCACATTTCCCAACTTGTGTTCTAACAATAATTTACATAAGATAAAAATCCATTATATGCACATTATATACAGTTTAACTATTAAACTGCAAACTAGCTTAATGTTTTTTAGTATATCCTGAATAACTAATACGGCAGTGGGTTTGCTACTGATTTAGCATATTGTTCAAAAACAATCCTGAACATTTATAACTTTAAGACTCCACATAGTGACCTGTCCAAAGTCCATAGATAAGAATCAATTAAAATTTGTAATTGTTAAAGACACAGGCCTAAGCTTCATTCCTTTTTCTTTAATGACACATTTATTCTGTCTCATAAGGACACAGCATCTGAACTGCTGCATAGGTCCTTTCGTACTTAAATCACAGTAAGGGGACAATGTATGGAAGCTACCACATAATAGCTCAGGCTCAGGAGAATCTAGCTCGCGAAGAAATAATTATAAGTGCTTTGTGTCATAATTACTCCCAACTGCTTCCAACTTAATGCAATAATTTACCACCATTTATTTTTTGTATCATTCAAATTATAGATAACAAACCAACAAAATTGGAAATTGTTGGTTCAGCCACTGATATTAAGAAGTGTCTTTTTTAAGGAGAACATTCCACGGAGCCATCAAGTCCCTCAGATACTGTTAAGATCCCATATTAGTTGGTAGTTTAGCCAAATCTACCAAACCCACACAACAAGCAGACCTTTACTTTTTCCTAGTGTGGCCACGAGACACCGAGGGGAAAATGACTGGGTTCGTACCACAGCGAAGTGTAAGGACTGGAGACACATGTTCAGCCATTCTTTTAAAATCTAACAGTTGTTAATATTCTTTTAAAAATATCTTCAGGTTTTAGATTTATAAATCACTTAAACAAAATTTACGATTCTATTATGTCAAAGACGGGACCAGAAAATGCAATCAGGTGATGCCTACTGTTCTGTTCTCACAGTTTTACCTGGGAGACAATCCCTTTTTTGGCCCTGCAGTTAAGTTGTCCTGAGATTAATGATGAAACATTAGGTAAAATTAGCAAGACTTCTTCTTAGCTATGTAAAATCACATTTTAAAATATTCTTAAAAAAATATTAACAGCTGTTCTTCACCTTGTGCTTAGTTCAGAAATCGGTATTAAATCTGCTTCTTACAGATCAGGAAAACCTAACGTGATACTGCTATGATATACATAAAACTTTTCAAGTTATAAACT